GAGGAGGAGGAGAGCGAGGCTGAAGCGGCACAGACTCCGACGGCGGGCAGCGCGCTTCTTCTTCGGCAATGAAGAGCCTCCCCATCGCCGGCGCCTTGCCGCCTCCCCGGCTAATCTAAGCCCATGCCATGCTGCTGCCGCTGCTGCCGGCGCTGCTGGCCGCCCTGGCGCCCTCCCTGGAGCCCGAGGAGACCCCGACGCCGCCGCTGCTGCCCGTGAACTCCTCGGCGTCCTTTGCCAGCCAGGCGGCGTTGCCCACCCCGGGGGCGAGGGAGAGGGAGAGGGCCACGCCCCTCCCTCCCCCTCCCCCTCCCCTCCGAGAGGACCCTCCTTGCAACATCAGCGTCCAGCGCCAGATGCTCAGCTCGCTCCTCGTCCGCTGGAGCCCGCTCGCTTTGGCCGCCCAGTGCGACTTGGTCCTCTTCTCCACCGGAGGAGGAGGAGGGGGAGGCGGGGGAGGAGGAGGAGGAGGCGGGGGTCGCGCCTTCTTCTCGGCCGCCTTTCCCCGCGTGGGGCCCCCTCCTCTCCTCATCGAGCACCTCGGCTTGGCAGCCGGCGGCGTCCAGCAAGAGCTGCGCCTCTGCGTGGGCTGCAGCTGGGCCCGAGGGCGGCGCGTGGGGCGCCTCCGCCCGGCTGCTGCTTCGCCTCCTGCTTCTTCTTCTTCTTCGGCGGCCCTCTTCTCCTCCTCGCCGCCCCTTCCCCCGGAGCAGCCCCCCGCCGCCGCCCCCTGGCAGCAAGGCGAGCGCCTCCACTTCTGCTGCCTGGACTTCAGCCTGGAGGAGCTCAAGGGGGACCCCGGATGGCGCCTCAACCGCAAGCCCATCGAGTCCACCCTCGTGGCTTGCTTCATGACGCTGGTCATCATCGTCTGGAGCGTGGCCGCCCTCATCTGGCCCGTGCCCATCATCGCCGGCTTCCTACCCAACGGCATGGAGCAGAGGAGGGGCGCCAACGCCGCCGCCGGGCCCGGGACCAACAACCACGCCACAGCCGGAGGAGCAGCAGCAGCGGGAGGAGGAGGAGGCGGAGCAGCCAACGTCGCCGCCGCCGGAGGAGTAGTCCCTAAGTGAGCCCTCGCGCCTTCATGACCTGGCATCCGGGTCCCAGCCCTGTTGGACGTGGAGAGCCTTATCCCCCTCGTCAGTCTTTCTCTGGGTCCCATCCCTGTTGGACATGGAGAGCCCCCTGAATTTCTCTCTGGGTCCCATTCCTGTTGGACGTGGAGAGCCCTATTCTCCTCAATCTCTCTCTGGGTCCCATCCCTGTTGGAAATAGTTAGCCTTACCCCCCTCCTCAATCTCTCTCTGGGTCCCATCCCTGTTGGACTTGGAGAGCCTTATTCTCAATCTCTCTTTGGGTCCTCTCCCTGTTGGAAATAGATAGCCTTATCCCCTTCCTCAATTTCTCTCTGGGCCCCATTCCTGTTGGACGTGGAGAGCCTCCTCAATCTCTCTCTGAGTCCCATCCCTGTTGGAAATAGTTAGCCTTACCCCCTTCCTCAATCTCTCTCTGGGCCCCATTCCTGTTGGACGTGGAGAGCCTCCTCAATCTCTCTCTGAGTCCCATCCCTGTTGGAAATAGTTAGCCTTACCCCCTTCCTCAATCTCTCTCTGGGCCCCATTCCTGTTGGACGTGGAGAGCCTCCTCAATCTCTCTCTGAGTCCCATCCCTGTTGGAAATAGTTAGCCTTACCCCCTTCCTCAATCTCTCTCTGGGTCCCATCCCTGTTGGACTTGGAGAGCCTCCTCAATCTCTCTGGGTCCCATCCCTGCTGGAAATAGATAGCCTTATTCCTATCCTCAAGCTCTCATTGGGTCCCATCTTTGTTGGATGTGGAGAACCTCCTCAATCTCTCTCTGGGTCCCATTCCTGTTGGACGTTGAGAGCCTTAGTCTTCTCAGTCTCTCTCTGGGTCCTATCCCTGTTGGACATGGAGAGTCTCCTCAATCTCTGTCTGGGTCCCATCCCTGTTTGACGTGGAGAGCCTCCTCAGTCTCTCTCTGGGTCCCATCCCTGTTGGACATGGAGAGCCTCCTCAGTCTCTCTCTGGGTCCCATCCCTGTTGGACATGGAGAACCTCCTCAATCTCTCTCTGGGTCCCATCCCTGTTGGACGTGGAGAGCCTCCTCAGTCTCTCTCTGGGTCCCATCCCTGTTGGACATGGAGAGCCTCCTCAGTCTCTCTCTGGGTCCCATCCCTGTTGGACGTGGAGAGCCTCCTCAGTCTCTCTCTGGGTCCCATCCCTGTTGGACGTGGAGAGCCTCCTCAGTCTCTCTCTGGGTCCCATCCCTGTTGGACATGGAGAGCCTCCTCAGTCTCTCTCTGGGTCCCATCCCTGTTGGACGTGGAGAGCCTCCTCAGTCTCTCTCTGGGTCCCATCCCTGTTGGACGTGGAGAGCCTCCTCAGTCTCTCTCTGGGTCCCATCCCTGTTGGACGTGGAGAGCCTCCTCAGTCTCTCTCTGGGTCCCATCCCTGTTGGACATGGAGAGCCTCCTCAATCTCTCTCTGGGTCCCATCCCTGTTGGACGTGGAGAGCCTCCTCAGTCTCTCTCTGGGTCCCATCCCTGTTGGACATGGAGAGCCTCCTCAGTCTCTCTCTGGGTCCCATCCCTGTTGGACATGGAGAGCCTCCTCAGTCTCTCTCTGGGTCCCATCCCTGTTGGACATGTGGAGAGCCTCCTCAATCTCTCTCTGGGTCCCATCCCTGTTGGACGTGGAGAGCCTCCTCAGTCTCTCTCTGGGTCCCATCCCTGTTGGACGTGGAGAGCCTCCTCAGTCTCTCTCTGGGTCCCATCCCTGTTGGACATGGAGAGCCTCCTCAGTCTCTCTCTGGGTCCCATCCCTGTTGGACATGGAGAACCTCCTCAATCTCTCTCTGGGTCCCATCCCTGTTGGACGTGGAGAGCCTCCTCAGTCTCTCTCTGGGTCCCATCCCTGTTGGAAATAGTTAGCCTTACCCCCTTCCCCAATCTTTCTCTGGGTCCCATTCCTATTGGACGTGGAGAGCCTCCTCAGTCTCTGTCTGGGTCCCATCCCTGTTGGAAATAGATAGCCTTATCCCCCTCCTCAATCTCTCTCTGGGTCCCATCCCTGTTGGAAATAGATAGCCTTATCCCTCCTCAATCTCTGTCTGGGTCCCATCCCTGTTGGACATGGAGAGCCTCCTCAGTCTCTCTCTGGGTCCCATCCCTGTTGGAAATAGATAGCTTTATCCCCCTCCTCAATCTCTCTCTGTTTCCCATCCCTGTTGGACGTCACTGGCCTCATTCAAAGCCTCTGGGTTGCTGTGAGTTTTCCAGGCTGTATGGCCATGTTCCAGAAGCATTCTCTCCTGACGTTTCACCCGCAACTATGGCAGGCATCCTCAGAGGTTGTAAGATCTGTTGGAAAGTAGACAACGGAGGTTTATATATCTGTGGGATAATGTCCAAGGTAGGGGAAAGAACACTTGTCTGCTTGAGGCAAGTGTGAATGTTGCCATTGATAATCTTGATTAGCACTGAATAGCCTTGCAGCTATTCCATTCCAGAGAGCAGGGTGAGCTCCTGCTGTTAGCCCCAGCTTCTTTCAACCTAGCAGTTCAAAAACATGCAAATGTGAGTAGATACCACTCCAGTGGGAAAGTAACAGTGCTCCATGCACTTATGGAGATGAGCACCAACCCCTGGAGTTGGACAAGACTAGACAATGTCAGGGGAAAACTTTTACCTTTACCTTAGCCTTGCAGTTTCAAAGCCTGGCTGCTTCCTGTCTGGGGGAATCCTTTGTTTGGGGGTGTTAGCTGGCCCTGATTGTTTCAGGTCAGAAATTCCTGGGTCATTTGAGTTGACAGTAAATAAAGTAAATAAAAAATAAGACAGTAAATAAAGAGGAACAGTGGTCCATGGACTACCATTTTGAGTAGCGTTGGCTTAGACTGCAAACAACAGTATAAATTGGGTTGCTGTCCAGGGTGGGAGAAAGAACTCTTATCTGCTTGAGGCAAGTCTGAATGTTGCAATTGGCTACACCGATTAGTGTTGAATGGCCTTGCAGCTTCAAATCCTGGCTGCTTCCTGCCTGTGGGAATCCTTTGTTTTGAGGTGCTAGCTGGGCCTGATTGATTCTTGTCTGGATTTCCCCTGCATTTTGAGTGTTGCTCTTTATTTACTGTCCTGATTATAGAGGGTTTTTTTAAAATTGGTAGTCAGATTTTGTTCATTTTCATGGTTTCCTCCTTTCTGTGTACTCAAATAATATGCTGTGTCCAGGTTGGTTCATGATAGAATCATAGAGTTGGAAGAGACCTCATGGGCCATCCAGTCCAACCCCCTGCCAAGAAGCATGAAACACTCCGAGGCAGAGAGTTCCACTGCTGAAGAGCTCTGACTGTCAGAAAGTTCTTCCTACTGTTCAGATGGAATCTCCTTTCCTGTAGTTTGAAGCCATTGTTCTGTGTCCTAGTCTCCAGGGCAGCAGAAAACAAGCTTGCTCCCTCCTTCCTATGACTTCTCATCACGTATTTATAAATGGCCATCATATCTCCTCTCAGCTTTCTCTTCTGCAGGCTAAACATGCCCAGCTCTTTAAGCTGCTCCTCATAGGGCTTGTTCTCTGGACCCTTGATCGTTTTAGTCACCCTCCTCTGGACACATTCCAGCTTGTCAACATCTCCCTTCAATTGTGGTGCCACAGTATTCCAGGTGTAGTCTGACCAAGTCCAAATAGAGGGGTAGCATGACTTCCCTGGATCTAGACACTGTACTCCGATTTATGCAGGCCAAAATCCAATTGGGCTTTTTAGCCGCCGCATGACATTGTTGGGTCATGTTTAACTTGTCTACGAGGACCCCAAGATCTTTTTCACATGTACTACTGCCGAGCCAGGTGTCCCTCATTCTGTATCGTTGCATTTCATTTTTTCTGTGTATGTGGAATATCTTGCATTTGTCCCTGTTGAACTTCATTTTGTTAGTTTTGGCCCATCTCTCTAATCTGTTAAGGACGTTTTGAATTCTGCTTCTGTCTTCTGGAGTATTAGCTATCCCTCCCAATATGGTGTCATCTGCAAACTTGATGATAATTCCATTACTTTTTTGAGCATTGTTTTTTATTTACTGTCCTGATTTTGGAGGATTTTTTAAATATTGGTAGCCAGATGTTGTTCATTTTCGTGGTTTCCTCCTTTATGTTGAAATTGTCCACATGCTTGTGGATTTCAATGGCGTCTCAGTGTAATCTGACATGGTAGTTGTTAGAGTAGTCCAGCATTTCTGTGTTCTTAAATAATATGTTGTGTCCAGGTTGGTGCAACAAGTGCTCTGCTATGGCTGACTTCTCAGGTTGAATTAGTCTGCCATGCCTTTCATGTTCCTTGATTTGTGTTTCGGCATTGCGCTTGTGTTTGAAGCTGCAAGGCCATTCAATGCTAATCAAGGTGGTCAATTGCAACGTTCACACTTACCTCAAGCAGATAAAAGTTCTTTCTCTCACCCTGGACATTCCACAAATATATAAACCTCACTTGCCTAGTTTCCAGCAGATCTCACAACCTCTGAGGATGCCTGCCATAGATGTGGGCGAAACATCAGGAGAGAATGCTTCTGGAACATGGCCATACAGCCTGGAAAACTCACAGCAACCCAGTCATTCTGACCATGAAAGTTTTTGACAACACATTGAACACCTCCTCATTCACTTTCTCTCTTCCCTTATTCTGCAGAGGATCACCTTAAAGCACATGTGTCATGCCATGTCACCCCCCCCAGATGCTGGACTGCCACTCCTGTCTTTCTCATCAGTAAACATCATGACCAGAGCTGATGGGAATTGGGATACAGGCACATCAGGAAGGCAACAAGACTTGGATCTAGCTACGAGGCTTGTGGATATGACACCTGCCTTTGAAATCCCCTTTAACCTTTACCCCACCTTCAGAGGCACAAGTGCTGTTGGACGACAATCCCTATTATCCCCAGTCCGAGTGTCATTCATCTGAATTAGGTAAAGAACTAAAGAGTTTGTAGTTGGCCCTCTGTTATTCTCTGTCCAAGGAACTGACAGCCCTTTGAAGACAACCATAAGGTGGCC